ATCTCGATATCAAGATGATCAATTAGAGGGTTTTTCAATATTTAAACTACCTTTTTCGATAGATTTTTGAGGTGCATCTGTAATTCTACATTTTAAGGTTACAACCTTACATAAAATTTTCCTATTAATTAATAGACCGTCCATTTTAGTGAGATGTATAGATCGAGACCTTTAAATGATGTTTTTTCCTTTTAAAAATTTTCAGATAGTTTTATTATTATTAGATTAATGATATTGAAAAATAAAAATTGATTTGAATTCATAAAGGCCTAGATCTAGGATGCAAATTGATTTTTTTCTTTTTTTTTCTTTTGAGATCGACTATTAGGATTAATGTGTACAAAATTTAGGGCCATACAAATGTCACAAATAAAATTTCCTAGAAGTGTGGTTTTATTATATTACAATATCACTGTGACATGACATCATTCCTCTCTCTTTATATATATATATAAATATAGAGAGAGGACCCTGTAGAGAGAGAGGCTATTGTAAGTCCCTAATCTGCAAAATATTGCTTATCTGCAGAATATTGCAGGTAGTCCAAATAAAAATATAAAATATGAATATATACAAAATATGTGACGTAAAAAGTCACCATTTTCGGCTGTTTATATCAACTCCTCTCCTTAAATTCGGCCAAATCAGGCCTATGCTACATGTGTGTAAGAGTCTTTTTCGGTTTGGAGAGAAAAATGAAGCAATTCGGTACTTCGACCGATCCGATAAAAGACTTCGTATTTTTTTTAATTTAATTTAATATAAATAACTAATTTATTTAGATATAAAATATATAGAAATAATGGAAAATTTTAAAATTTTAAAAAATTAAAATTAAAAATAAAAAAAAATACTTTTATATAGCTATTTCTTTGCTAGCCGAAGCAGACCCGAATCTGATCGAAGCAGCCTGAAGCGGCCCGAATCTAACTGAAGCGGCCCGAATCTAACCGAAGCGGCAAGGCCATGTTTCATTTTGCATCGGTTTATGCCTAAAATCCGAAGGAAGCGAAGTGAATTTGATAACACCGGTGTATCCTAACCTGGTGGTATGGAGCTCTGTTTTATACCTTCATCATAGTTTCTGTTCTCATGTATTGGTAAACAAGATAAACAGTTACAAATTGTAAGATTATAACCCATATAAATGTGATCATTAGTGCCTAAAAACTCAATAAGTTAATTAAAAATGTTGAATCACAATGCTTGTAGTGAGTTTCGAATAATAAAATATTACTAGTAAACAGTTGCTTGAATGCATCATATGTTCGCGCCGACTTTGAGAAAACAACACAGTTGCAATCAGTGTTCGAAAAATTGAAACCTGCCAAGGGCAGGATCCGAGTAACCGGTAAACTGGGCGATTCAACCCAGCCGGTTCAAAAAGTGTCAAAAAAAATTATAATTTTTTTTTAAAAAAAAAATGAAAAGTATATTGCATGATTAAATAAAGCATTTCCAAATGAAGTTGACAAAGTAGTGAAAAAAACTGGATTAAAAAATGGGTTTGTGCCTAAAGGTATTTCGAAATTTTTAAAAAAAGATGAAAAAATATAAAAATATGTATCTATCGCCGAAACACTTTCCAATCTTTGCCGAAATTGATAAAAAAAATTTTAAAAACACATTTCAGACAAATCCTTTATATTTTGGGATTAGATATATATATATATATATATATATATA